GTCGCGCCGACCCCTGCTTCTGGTTGAGTCGACCGCTTGCTAGCCTCATCTAATTTTCTGCTATGTTTGTGGGTCTTGGCTATTAGGTAATATATATATATATATATATATATATATATATATATATATATATATATATATATATATATATATATATATATATATATATATATATATATATATATATATATATATATATATATATATATATATATATATATATATATATATATATATATATATATATATATATATATATATATATATATATATATATATATATATATATATATATATATTATGCATCATTATTTGAAGTCAACAAGAACTAATGAAAGATACACATAGTGCTCATCATTTTCATCCTCTCTTCTCAAAAATCAACATCTACACATAATCATGGTTGTTGATTCAATAAAATTGTTGTGGTGATAACATTCAAATCAAGGATTCAATTCAGATTTGGGTTGAGCAATTGTGGGTTGTTCTTGAATAAAATCATTGGGATTTTCTCCTCCAAGATTCCTATTGGTGCAAGGGTTTTTGCACAAGTCTTTGCTTCATTGAATTCAACCAAGTGAAAGGATTAAGAAACATGGGTTTGATTAATCAAGTAGTGGTAACTGGAGGATTGTGAAGATTGATTTGGGGTCAAATTGCTTGCGACCGAAACCAGCCGAGTGAAAGGATTAAGAAACAGTGAGTTTGCTTAATCAAGTAGCGGGTAACCAGAGGTTTGTTCGAAGAATTTGGCACTTGATTTTGCTTAAACCAAGGAAAGGGAAGAAGATTGTTACATCAACAACATTGGTTTGTTTGTATTATGAACTATCTCTTCTCTTGTATCATTTTCAACTTAATATTAAATATATCAATTCTAGATTCTAGAATTAGAGGCAGACGTACCCTACGCGAGGACGACAAGGGGAACTGCATTAACAAATAGTTCGTTCTTCTGCTTTTTCTTTATCTCTATACTTGATTACTATACTGTGCGAAAATTAATTTATTAAATATGCATTTATTGAAATTGTAGTGTGTTGAGTTCATTTCAGAACATTGGTAACAATCCTTTTGATTGATACCTAAGAAAACTTACCACTAAAATTTAGTAAAACCAAAACTAAGGTGCTCTGCTCACAAGGTGTTTGACAAATTGACTAATCCACAAATTATTCATTGTGCTTGTCCTTATCTCATTCAACTCATTAGTAGTAATTAATAATCATTGAGGGTGTATAAGTGATTGATCAATTGAGTAAAACACATTGATTCTTATTTTGTCATTACATCTCATACGGTTACGCATATCCGATCTTTTCAATAGAGGATCGTTTAGACGATTGGAGATTTCAGGAAGCTTTCGCACATTTTTCTGAAAATAATTTTAAAAAGCACAAATTATTTTAAACGATCTATTCAACCCCCCTTATAGATCGATCACATCATCTAACATAAGTGTTGGAGCACAACCTGAGGAGGTTAAAGGTGAGAAAGAAGATTTTATGGAGGATGCTGAGAATAAAGAAGTTACGGAGGATGCTGAGAATGAAGGTACTGATGAGGTAATAAATGATGACCAAGGCGTTGAAGATACATATATTAGTGGAGAAGATGAAGACTATATTGTAACGGAAGGTGAAAGTGAAAGTGAAATTGGAGAAGAATGAGATTGGACACATGAAATACCTACTGCGACCTTTGTTGGAGAAAATAAAGAGGGTGGAACCATGAATGAAACACAAGATGCCTATGAAGAGTCAGTATTGGCAAGTTACAAGTTTGAAAAAAGATCATGAATGTGTTAGATCTGTTGAGAATAAACAAGCTAGAACTAAATGGCTAACAAAGAAGTTTATTCCATTGATTAGGCACACTCCTCATATTAAACCTAGTGGATTAGTTGATGAGGCATTTCTTAGGCGGAATGTTAAGATCAACCATTTTTAAGCATATGGGAAAAAAATATAGTAACGGAGTTGATATAAGGTGCTAGTAGTGAGCAATATGCACACTTAAGGAGTTATACTTAAGAGCTTAGAAGGTCAAATCATAATAGCATAATGATAATCAAATGTGGAACATCTGAAATAGGACCTGTTTTTGAGAGGATGTATATTTGCCTGGAAGGTTGTAAGGTTGCTTTTGCTTACACATGTAGACCATTAATTAGGTTGGATGTTTGTTTCTTGAAAGATGAACATGATGGTCAACTTATAACAGTTGTAGACAAGGATGGAAACAACCAAATGATACCTATTGCATATGTTGTTGTTGAATCTGAAACAAGAGATTATTGGGAGTGGTTTATTGACCTATTATTGGAAGATGTTAACCAAATTATCCCTAAACAATATGAATTTATATCTGACCAGCAAAAGGTTTGTAACTGCCTATATGTGTATTTCTGCAATTGCTTATATATGTAATTGTCTATTGCTATAACTGCCTATATGTATATTTCTGCAATTGCGTGTATATGTAACTGCCTATATGTCATTGATTCGAAATTCATTTTCATTCAATCATCATTTGAAAATTATATTTAAGTTCACTTGAAAATTACAACAAACATCACTAAACAAGACCACCTAAACACAAAGCATAAAACACCTTAACAATAACAACTAAACATATTCAGGACTTCAAGCCTTCAACCCTTCAAGCCTTTGATTTAACAATAAAGAGCAATCCCATGATGACCACACTAGCTAGAACAACCAATCCTTGGAAAAACTTAAGCTTTTTTTTTCTTCAAATTCTCATCTTGTTTGATTTTCAAATTATCATTCTTCTTAACTTCATCATTTCTCTCCATTAGTGACAAATCTCCTTCTTTGCACGCACAAATATTTTTTCATCGTACCAATTGAAGAAATTACATCCTTTTCATCCCTGCAACTGCATTCACAAAAAATAACATATTTTTCAAATTATGGGTTCAAGCTAATATTGATAGATTCGTTTGATATAATTTGGGTTTTACCTTGTATAACCCACATCCATTAAACATGTGCCCATGATTCCCCTTTGTCCATGAAGTCGTGAGCGGTGAATCAAGGTCACAAAAACAACAAACTTGTCTTCTTTGTGATGCATAACTGTTACTAAACACGACATATGATTATGACATTTTCGATTTCGCATGTTGAAGAAGAAGAAAACTGAAGAAGAAATGGGAGAAATGAGAAGGAGCTGGGCGAAAACGATGAAGATGGTTTGGGATTTAGGGGGTTAGGACTAAAATTACAACCAACGAGATGATATAGGGACTGCTTTGTTCAATTTGAAAATAGAAGGATCAATTTCGTGAGTTGGTCAAAATACATGCACCAAAAATGTCATAAATCAAATACTAAATAAAAATCGGATAACCTACTTCAAGTTATCCGATAAAAAAAAGCTATTGAAATTGAAACTCATTTCTAAAAGTCATTCAATACACACTTGTGGGGGTATAAACTCCTTCAAATTTTCAAAAAACTTCAATGAATGGTAAAAAAAGTAATTTAGTTAAAATCATACCAGAACAAAGATGGAATATTTCATAAAATGAAAGGGTACAGAGATAATAAATATTGGTGTATGGGGTAAAACTTTTGTTTCTAAACTCGAGGCCCAACTACATTGTTTCTGAATCGGCCCAACAAAAACAAACACATTTCATTTCATTTCATTCTTCAAGAATCAAAACCCTAAAACAAATCAACATTTCCCCTTCAATTTCATCGCATCGCTGAACTATTCTTCTCATCGGAAATCCCAGCCGGAATCTCTCTCCGGTCGCCAGAAACGGTGAAATTTTTTTCCATTTTTTTCGAATTTCACGCACCGCGATTTTTAAACTTCCCCTTTTTCAATTGTTTCTTTTCTATTGTTAAATGTATAGAAATTGTAGAATGCTGAAATGAATAGTTGGTGAACTTGATTTTGTTAATCTGAGACTGATTTTGTTGTAGCTCTAAAAAATATCTTGAAATTTCTATCTGTTGTTATGATTGTTGTTTTAATTTTGGTCGCTTACATAGGTACAAATAGTTGTAGTTTGCTTTTAGGGTTTTAATTTGTTGATTCCACATTGTTCTGGTTTTTACTAGGGTTACTTAGTTGTTACATGCTTCTCAGTTTTTGAGTGTTTGTTTGTTTTTGTTTTTAAGGTTTTCATTGTCAATGTCTTGTTAATTGGATTTCTGAGCTGAATTTTTCCAGATTTATTTTCTGCACTGCGATTGTTGAACTAGCCATTATCAATTGTTTCGTTTTTGTTTGTTACTTTGTTGGTCAAGTAGCTTAGTAGTTAGACTTGTATGCTTTAAATATGAAGAAGTGGGAAATTTCGGTTCTGGAAGCATGTCGATGTCCTTGCAGCTATCAGCTGAGTTGTATTTATGGGATTTGTTATTTTGTTACTTAAATGTATAGAAAGGGTTGAATGCTAAAATAAATATATCCAACTGGATTGTAGTTTTAAATAGATGATAACTGTCAGAATTTTATTAATCGGTTTATATTTTAGCTTAGCTCAAAGAAATGTGTTGGAGAGTTTATCTGTTGATAAGATCGTTGTCAAACTTTTGGCATCCTAGACGGGACCGAATTGTTGTAATCTACTTTTAAGGGTTCTAAGTTGTAGATACTGATACCACTTTGTTTTGTTCTGGTTTTTACCTGGCTTGATATGTTGCTACATGCTTTTCAGTTTGTGTTTTTCTCTCCAAAGTTTTCCTGTCTATGTCATCTTAATGGGATTTCTTAACTGATTTAAAACAGACACTAACCATTTCTCTCATCCATATATCTTAGTTTACAATTAATTATGTTGAATCAGAGTTATTAATCCCGGATAGCGGAGCGGAGCGGCCGACCCCCGGGAATGGGAAAAGTGGGAATAGCGGGATCCCGGATAGCGGGATAACCTTTTATATACTAATAATTATATTATAATAATCTATAAAAGAGGGCTTGCGAATGGCGGAGATGTGAGACAAAAGTAGAAGAAGATGGAACGGTGGAGATTGGAGAAGATGTACTTGCTGGAACGGTGTATGGTGCTGTTGCTGCCTTGCTGGAAGCCTGGAACGGTAGAGAAGATGCGGACTGCAGTTGTATGTTGCTGCCTTGCTGGAACTAGAACGGTGGAAGAAGGGCACGAAAATTAGGGCAGAAGAAGAAAGTGAGAAAGTGAAACGAAGGAAAGAAAATATAATGCAAATCTGTTTCAAAAGTATTTTAAAAGAGGGGTAAAACAGCAATTTTGTCAAAAAAAAATTTAAAAAAAAAACAGGCCAAACCGCTCCGCCCGGGAGGTGCCCGCTATCCGCGACCCGGGATAGCGGCGATAGCGCCCGCTATCTTCTCTCCGCCACCGCACCCTTGTGCGCGTGCGGCAGGCCTCCGCTCTGGAGCGCCGCTATAGCGGCCGCTACGGGCGCTATTAACAACTCTGTGTTGAATGCATATTGTACTTTCTGGTTGCAATTCTTGTTGTGCTGAAAATTAGGGAATAGAAGTTCTTTCTGTAATGAATGTTGCTGAATGCTGAGTTGAAAATTTTGAACTTACAAACTTCTGTGATTTGTTTTATTGGTTTTTATCTGCTTGCTATAGTAGTTGACCATCTAAGGGATTTGTGATTGTTATTTTCTGAATGGGCTACCCAATTAGGTTGGGTTATTGGTTTGGTTTAATAACTATGATGTTATGATCTTTACGTTGTACTGTCAAAGTTTTATGTCTGATTTTATGGTGTCCTTGTCAGTATCATCTTAATGGGATTCCTGAGCTGTTTTTTAGCATGTTCAGGGTCTTTTAGTAGGTGTGAGTAGCTTTTGGATATACATATATAATGGCACACACCATTAATGTCATTCATTTAGCTTAGTTACTCTTATGCTGAATGAATACTTTGCTTTCTGACTGCAATTCTTGTTCTATTGAAATTTGAGGAAATAGAAGTTCTTTCTGTAATGGAGGATGCCGAGAATGCCTTACAGTCATCAAAGAAAAGGGCTGCTGGACGAGAGCTTACACGAGACACTCCTATTGACGACGAGGAAGATGACGCTGATCTTAATGCTGGAACTTTCAAGAAAGCCAGTGACGAGGTTCTGGCATCCAGAAGAATTATCAAAGTAGCACGTCGCCAACAGACTAATTCCGCTCCTTCTTCAAACCCTTTTGCTGGAATCCGCTTGTCTGCTCCTACTGAAGCCAGTGCCAAACCTGTTGAAGCCACTGCTGAAACACTACCGGAAAAAACTAAGGATGAAGAGACTAAGCAGCCAGAGAGCAAAACTCTTGAGGTGGAGGTCAAATCTACAAATAATGATGCTGCTGAAAAAAACAATGTAAATAAGGAGCTTGCGGAGAAGGAGAGTATTTGCTATAACTCCAAGGTAGATAATGAACAAAGTAAGGATGAAAGTAAGTTTGAAAATGAGGTCAAGAAGGAAGCTGTTGACAAGGAAAGTGCTGGTGAGATTGAAAAAGAACCTTCTACAGAAGGAAAAAATACTGAGAACAATGATAAGAACGGAAATAGTGAAAGCAAGGATAAGGAAAACAAAGTAAGTGATGAGGCTACAGCTGAAGGTGGACCTTTCAAGTCATTTCAACAGCTTTCGAGTAGTCAAAATGCCTTCACAGGTCTTGTTGGAAGTGGTTTTTCTTCTTCCTTATTTTCCTTTGGAACTAAAACAAATGATGGGTCTGCTTTAGGTAGTGGAACTGGTTCTATTTTTGGCTTGAAACCTGACCAGCCTTTGGGTCTAGGTTTATCTAATACTGGAACTTCTGGTTTTGGGACCTCGGGAGCATCTTCCGTTTCCAAGAATGAAGCACTGCAGGAAGTCGTCGTTGAAACTGGTGAAGAAAACGAGGAAGTGGTTTTCAATGCAGATTCAGTGTTGTTTGAATTTGTAGATGGAGGTTGGAAGGAACGTGGAAAGGGAGAGGTGAAGGTGAATGTCACTAGTGGAACAGAAAAGAAGGCCAGAGTTCTTATGAGGTCTAAGGGAAATTACAGATTGATTTTAAATGCGCGTCTTTACCCTGAAATGAAGCTCACAAATATGGAGAAGAAGGGCGTTACCTTTGCCTGTGCAACTGAAGGGAAAACTGGTCTTTCAACATTTGCATTGAAGTTCAAAGACGGGTCCATAGTGGAGGATTTTAAGGCTGCTATTACTGCACATAAGGGTGACGCATCTACAACTGTGAAGACACCAGAAAATTCTCCCAAGGCCGCTGATGTTTGAGCTATATTTTATACTCAGTTTTCTCACAAACTCAGTCTCCTTAGCTACTGTTTTGTTGTTGTTGTTATCTTTGTATGACAGTTGAATCATATTTGAGACTTGGTGTACTTTAATTTGAGTCAAACCTGTTATGGTAGAGGATAAAGCCTTGATCTAAAATACAGAATATTCGATCATGAAAACTATATGTAGTGTTGTTTAAATTTCTGACATTAAGTATGAGGTAAGTTCTTGGATTAACCAACTTGCCAAGATGGTTTTACCATATTAATGATAATAAGTGCTTGTTTGGTACAATAAGTTTACCGAAATCAATATGTAGATTTGGTTCATATGCTCACATGTTTGCAAATGAACGTCACGTTGAAGCATACACCAATTTTATCATCTACGAAAACATGTGTAAAATGGTTTTTCCCTTACACTTAGGCATGTTTGCATAAATAACGTATTTGCAAATGTTTATTTATAAAAATAAATATTTTTTAATAAATTTGTATGAGTTACTTTCATAATAAATAAAATTTACTTGTTTTTGTTTTTATGTGTCATAAGTTATTTTTGAATAATTTATGAAATAAACTTTACATTTATAAAAAGTAGGATAAAATATTCATTTTGATCCCTTTAACTTTCAAAACGTTTTATTTCAGTCTCTTTTGTCTAATTAACGATAAATTTAGTGATGAATTTCAAAAAATTTCCTAAAAAATATTAACAATGTAATAGTTTGAATTTAATGAAAAAGTCACCATAATCGATTAAAACTCTCACGTCAATTGATTGACATTCATAAAACAAAGGGCATCAAACGATTTATCCTTCATCAATAGATTGCTTTCATAAATAAACAAACTTTGCAATTTTTTCTTTTCAAAGATTTTTCACATATGTTTACCATACCATAATCATATATTAGCATTTAACACACACATAATAGTACTAAAACATAAATTATCTAAAAATTTAAAAATTAAATCATGATAAACACAATGATTAACATGAAAATTAAAACATATATGAATACAAAAATTTTAAGTTATAAAATAATTCTCACAGAATTTTCAACAGAATTTTAAACACTTAGAGAAGGCATTTTATTTTCTTACGCTCTATCCCACACATATCTTTTATTGAGATGTAATCTTCTTAAAAATACAAAACATCCAAATCAAACTTATCTATTTTCTGCAAAAACAAAACGAATTAATTATTCTAGAATCTCAAATGTGTTAGTTCCATGGTTTTATGATTGACTAAACTTTGATAAAACATAGTTCTATAATGATGTTGTGTAAGATGTTGTAACATCTTCATCAACAGTTTTACTGTTATGTGTTTAAGTTTCAATAAGATGTCGAAGACATGTGTCATGACATCTTGGTCTGTGTACAGCAAACGTTATTGTTGTTGTTTATCTCTTGACATATTTGTTTTGATTTGATGAGATTCTTTTGGATATACCTCATCATTATGCGCAAGTCAAAAAGATTATTTATGAACAATGTGCAAATTTGATTTGTTTCATTAAAAAAAGATCTTAGAGACTTTTTAGAAAACTTTAAAAAGATTTCTTCCTATTTTTATGTGAAGATCTTGCAGTTGGTTTAAAAAGTGAAGATTGAATTTTATTTGAAGAGTCTAAGTCCATTCTGCAAGAGTCTATAAATAAAGACTTGATATGACCTAAAATAGCAAGCATTCACAAAGAAGAAATTGTGTGTGCAATATAAGGATTAGGATTTTAGGAGTCTTTTAGATTTTTAGCTTTTGTGTTCTTTGTGTGTCATTCATGTATCTTTGATGCATTTAATTGACTGGTTGTTGCTTGTTTATCAAGCTATTGTTCTCACTCATAAGCTTTTAACAAAGAGATGAGTATTGTTCTTAGTTGGAGTTTTTAAGCAAAACTAAGTATTGTTTATTTGAAGTGTAATCTTTTATTGGGTTTTAAGTCTAGTCACAAGGTTTGTGGTTGTAGAGATATCATTGTGGTGATTGAAAGTGAGAGGGGGTTTTCATATCTAGGAGGTTCCTAGCTAGAAGTTGCACAAGCTAGTGATTAGGTGAGAAATTATAAACTAGAGTTGATTTAGCTTTAAACTAATACTATCATAATTGATTTTCTTCCTGGCTTGGTAGCCATAGAGTAGGCGACGTTGCATCGAACTGGATTAACAATTGATCGTGTTATTTAAATTTCTGCAATTTATTTTTCTGCACAATCAACAGTTTTAGTAGGTTTTCTATCAACAAATGTCATAACATTTGTCATGACATCGTGTTTGTGTTAAGACATCAGTCTTGACCTTTGTATTCCAAGTGTCAGAATTTCAAAATGTATCATAGCAGACACCCTGTTTTGTCTATTGGGTGAGTGTTATACCCTAATTTTTGCCTCTAAGATCTCTATATCATCTCATATCATCACAATGCATCAAGATCACACAATAGGGTTGTTTATCTCTTCTACTCTCTCTTATCTTTAAGTTTGTCCTTAAGAGATCATCAAACACCTATTTTATTGTGTATCTTGTACATGTGTATGCTTTATGTTTTTTACTAACATCTAACCAAAATCCAAAAATATATCTTATTTATTTTGTTTCTTTTGGAATAACGGGTTTCTAATCGAGAAATTCAGGCGATTGTTTCACCAATTAGGGTTATGGTATGTTTGGAGCAAAGACAGATTCTCAAAAGGCCAATTTTTCAGAGTTGTGATCTATAATCACAGGTCACTCTATATTGAAGTTTCAGTCAGCTTGGTTAAGGCGAGTTTGGTTGCTTAGTTCTCAAGATTCTTCGAGATAGGTTCATGTGTTTATTTCCATACCTTCTTCGATGAATAATCTCAAGTTCTGACAAGTGTGAACCTGATTTAATCAAGATTTCACCATTTCAGGTTCATGTGATTAGAGTACTTTGTGTTAAGGAGAACGATCAAGTCGAGAGTTGATTGTGTGTAGAAGACCATCAAATGCTTGAGTACATTAGAGGATGTTTCTTTTGCAATGTGTCACAAATGTCATTTTCTACAAGTTTGTTTGAAAAAATTGAGAACAAATGGTGCTCGGTAGTTTGTGGAATTTTTTAGGTCATTTCGACTTAGGTTGATTTTAATCTCTAAATTCAATTCATGCCATAATTATTATGATGAGATCATTCTTTGTCAACTGAAACTTTTGAAGAATCATGAATTGATTATTGCTTGTGTTCAAAGTTGGATTCTTAATGGATATTCTTGTTGGCCATGCATAATTATTAGAAACTCAAGGTTTTTTCTTTCAAATCAAATTTTCAAATTCAAAAAGAGAGTTTAAATTCAAATATTGAGGGTTTTTGTAATGGAGGGAATTTCTTTGGTTTCTCTTGGGTTTAGAAAAAGAATTACAAGGCAAATTACTTGAAAAATGAAGCATTCTCATCCAACATTACCAAGTTCAAATTCTCAAATACTATCCAAGAGTGCAAGACATAATTCATTCATAATTTGGGATTCAAAATGTTCAAAGAGACTACTCTTCTTATGATTTCGAGACATGCCATATTACACTTGCGAATCTCATTCAATTCAAAGAGATTATTCAAACTTCTAATTCAAGAGTATTCAAGTTTCTTTATACAATCTTTCAAGAATATCTCAAGTTGTTTTTCTATGCCTAAGCTTCAACATCAAATTCTACATTGGATTTCTCCATGTTGCAAACTTTTCCATCAATTCTTCAAAGAAGCAAGCTCTTGATTTCATCTTCCTAACTCTTTGCCATGGCTTTGATTCGGGTTCACATTCTTCTCCAACAATCTCAATACCAACATCACCATTTAACACATGAAAATAAAATTAAAAGAGTGAAGTTAGTAATCTCAAATCCATAACCCAACTCCATTCCAAAGAAAATTCCCACAAGCTCATATTATTTTCCAACAAAATATCAACAAATCACCAAGATTCATCATCAAAAACCCCAACACAATATTCATTCCATATTATTAGTAAAAATCATTTCCACCATTTTTATTCTATTTTTCAACAACAAAAAAAACCACAACCACAAAGCCCAAATTCTTATGGAGCAAACAATACTTTGTTAACACAAAAAGAGAGATTACTGGACTGATAAATAGAATTTTTGTATGGGCCTTTGAGCAGAAAAATAAACATCTCATTTTGAGAAATTTCAACCCAAACACAGTTTAAATATCAGCCTTTGATTCATATCAAAACCCTGAGTTCTACATATATTTAAATATTCATTGAGACTGACAAAGGGACCTTTTTTTTTCTGACACACACTGAAAAACTCAGAGCAAGAAAAAAAAAATAGAAAGAAAACTCACCTAAGAAATTCCTCTATCGCCGGAAACCGCTGCCTCATCTCGTCGGAAATAGCCTTCAACCTCTATTCTCCTCCTTCTTCATCCCAAAAGGTTGATAACACACTTCTGGATCCGAATTTCTTCCTATTTATATGCTCTTGTGTTGTTTTGTTTTGATTTGTGTTGGTCCAAACTCAAAAATTTCTGAAACTGTTATGTAGATCTACTCTTTTCCTTTTAAGTTTTTTAAAAAACAAATTCCGGATTTGAAATAAGGATAAGAAGAGGAACATAAAAATATTTAAATAATTGAAATTCGGTTTGGTTTCGCGGTGGCGCCGCCGAGCTCCGGTCAGTCACCACCGCGAACCACCGTGTCTTCACCGTCCTCCGCCTCCTCTCTCATCATGTACTTCATTTGTATTTTTTTTTTCAAGGTTAATGAATGGTTGTTGTTGGTGTAACATGAAGTTCTTCCATAAGCTTCTTTCATATCTCTTCCCTTTTCAAATTCTAGCGATTCATGCCGGCTAGCTAGTGATTGTCGGTGCCACTTGTCATCACATCTGAAAAGATGATAGTTTTTTATTCTTCGTGCTAATATACTTTGTACTTATTGTGTGTCTTGAATCTGGATCTCTTCTCTTACGCTATTATCCTACCTGAGTTGATTAGATTTAAAGGCTGATATTAGTCTGTTTTAATTTCTTTTCTATTAATCTATTGTTACTTTAAAAATTTATTTTAAATTTAAATTTTGTCTGAAAATTCTGAAAAAAAATCACAAAAATCATTTTTATCATTTTTGATTTTCTAGAATTTTTCTAAAATTTTATTATGATTTTTATTATTTTTAATCATTTTCACTTATTTTAGTTATTTTAAATAGTTTACGATACTTTTCTGTTTTAGAAAATTATCAAAAGTTTTGTAAAAACATTTGAGATCATTTTCTGACTTTTCTATGATCTCTTTATAATTTTTCTTTGATATTTTGAATATGATTTGTTATTTTGGCTTTTATTTTTATTTTAAAAAGAATTTAAAAGTCTTTTTTCTTCTTCATTTTCATTTTTATTTTTATTTTTCTTGTGCTATAAATTTAATGAGTATGATTTCTATCACATTTCTAACTTACATGGTACATACATTGCTATTGACCAGCATCGAAATATGTGCAACTTCTACATAAGTCCACTTATGATTACTTAACATAGCGCTAAATTTGTCCTGATTCGAGAAATGATCATTCGTGGTCCAAATCTATATTTGCAAGCCCAAGTATGTTTAATTTGAAATCGTTGATCCAACAACTTTGAGGGTCATTGTTAGGAGGTTTTGATCTTATCAATTCTCTAATGAACCTTCATAAACGTTGGTCTAAGCGAATCATTTAAACATCGTTGATCATATGTTGTCGCCTCGAGAATTTAAAATGGATGATATACTTGACAAAAAGCAAATGAGACTTGTTGTTGAGAAGTTTTGATCTTATAAATCTTCTAATGAGTTCTTAAATACAAGTTTCAAGATGGTCATTCAACTAACCTCTAATTTCTAATTCACTAACAATTGACTTTTATTATGTGTTTTTACTTTATGCTTTATTTTATGCTTTTACTTTTATGCACCATTTACTTTAGCATTTACATTTCATGTTATTTTTATCTTTGCTCATTTGAGCATTTATCTTTGCGTCATTTTTATTTTTGCTCACTTGAGTTTGCATTTTCTTTTTTAATGCGCTTAATAACCAACTTTAACACAAAAAACTTTAATGTTACTTGGACTATTTGGTTATTATCCCTGGCATATTAGAGATGTGGATTTCTAGGATTTAGGGTAAGAAGACTTTGATACTCTTAAGACCTTGTGGCTCCGATTTTTATTTTGTCTGGAGTTCTTGGGGTTTACCCCAAGACATTGGGTTGATTTTCTTTGTGTGCAGGTTATTCTGATTATATGCTTTGTATGTGATTGGGAATTCCTCTGTATACAGTCGTTACTCTTCCCAATTTTTGTGAAGACTTAATGCATATGAAGATTGGTATTGTTAAGAGGTTTAATATCTTTGCTTGATTTGATTCAATCCAAAGGATGAGAATTCTACATTGAATCTTTATGCCAAGTGTTGGTTTCTTGTTGGTTAAACGATTCTTTTCCCTAGCTTTTATCTTATGCTTTAGGATAGTCCCTTCATCTCCTCTCATCTTCTTTAATTTCAAAAATCTCCTCCCTCCTTTTCAAGACTCTTATTGTTTTTAACTTGAATCGCTTTCACAATAAACTTGGACTTAGGTCCATGCATTTTCAAAAATACTTTCTTAATCAAACTTTAATCAACTTAATCATATCTTGACATTTTTTATGAAAAGACTAAAAAGTCAATCAACCTCATTCAAACCATTTTTGCCACTTTGGATTTTTACTTTAAAATTTTCACAAAAGATTAGATTTTTTTCAATCCTTGTAGTGATGCAAGCTACTATACTTCTACGATATGTAGTGAAGTAAGATATTTTCCACTTGAGTGTTAAGTGAGACTTTGTTGATTTTAAAATCCAAGCTATATCTTTCACTTTGAGATGTTCTCCTTTCTCATAGTCGTGGGTAGTAAGTATGTTTTCCACTCGGATATGACGATGATGTCTCGTCTTTTAAAATCAACCAACACACTTGTTTTAAAAATTTTAAAGGTGAACTACGAGTACCCCGATCCCCTATTGCCACGAAAGGTGGTACATAGGCACTAAAGGTTCACAACTGCGGCGGGTGCAAAAATTATAAAAAATATTTCTCTTCTCACCTCCAACATCTATTTTTATATACAACATTTATAGCCAAAATACATAAATTTTCAAAGAGGTTTTTGCGGAGTACCGTAGATGTTTATGGTGCTAATACCTTTGCTTAACCAACCCCCATGCCAAAGATTCTCTCCCCCTCTTTTTGGGTTATTAGCCATTTTCCCATTCCTCTGAAAGCAATAAAGCGCGATGATGATTTTTATTTGATTTGTGTGAATCAAGTCAATCCAATGGCTTAGTCTCGACATTTCTACCGCTATAGTGAGCTTCAGGGAGAATATATTTCTGGTACTATGGATTCTAAGGAAAGACTGTCCAGATTCTATTGTGTTACTTGGAATTTAATTCAGTAATGTTTTAAAGAGAATATAAAGGATGGAAAAAAGGAAGGAAATATCAAATGTCTTATCTAACATTAGTAGTGGAGATATGACTGATCAAGACAGAGGAATTAAGTGTCTTGAGTGTAGAGGCTTTGAACACATTAGATCAGAATGTCCTACTTTTCTCAAGGGTCAACCTAATGGACTGACTGATTCTTGGTCTAATGAAGAATCTACTGAGGAAGAGTCTGCTAAATCTGTGACTGCCTTAACAAGAAAATGGGATCTTAAGGCCAACTTCAGAAGTGATGAGATACCTCATGATGAATTATCTACCTGCTACAAATATATATGCAACAAAAGTGAGAAACTTTATCAAATAGGATTAAAATAGAGGATGATCATAGCTAAACTCCAGGCTGAGAAGGATGAATACCTAACTGATAATCTTGAACTCCAAAATAAGGAGACCTTGTTGACATCTAAACTTGATAATTTGATCAAAGGTTTAAGATGTTAAACAATGGATCTTATGTGCTAGATGATATTCTTCAAGACGTGGAAGGAGGGAAAAGACATACTGGAATTGGATTTGAATACCAAAGCTTGAAAAATAAGAAGAAAACCTCTTAGATAAAGTTTGCCCCTACTAAAATGTAGGTTGGAAACAAGATGTCTAGTCAGATGTCACAACATCATGCCAGGTCACAGGAAACTCATACCAAAGTTGAGTTTAGGTCTTGGATATGTCAGTTTTATGGAAGAAGTGGACACTTAGAACAAGTTTGTCACAAACTTCATGGATATCCAAAGCATCCATCTCAACCCAGTGCAAATTCTCTTCTAACAAGGACTAAAAAGGAATGGAAAGTAAAAGATATTTTCAAAAATTTCATTGCTCATACATCTCTTAAAGTCTCATCTAATGAAGAATGGTATTTTGACAGTGGATGTTCTAGACATATGACAGGTGTGGAAAACTTATTGGAAGACATTAAACCTCACACAACTATCTATGTTACTTTTGGAGATGGTGCCAAAGGAGTTATTAAAGGTGTTGGAAGGCTAGCTTGTGAAGGATATCATAAGCTTTATAGGGTCATGTTTATAAAAGGTTTTACTGCTAATCTGATAAGTATTAGTTAGCTATGTGATCAAGGTTTCAAAGTGAACTTCACAAAATTTGAATGTTTGGTCACTAATAAAGAGAATGAAGTGCTCATGAAAGGAGACATGTCTAAGGATAATTGTTACTTATGGAAACATAGAGATATCAACCATAATTTAATATAGAT